ACTTGAAAACAAGAACGTCGTTGATGTAGAAAGGAGAATTCTTTGAAACCCATTCTTGGTATTTGAACCCCTTCTTCCAAACTGTAACCACAATGTTTCAACGGAGCCGTGTGTTTGTGGTGGCTGTTGCTAGTAGAGCCAGTGCCGCTTGAATGGTTTAGTGGAGCCGTTTGGTGGCTTGAGTGTTTTGATGGAGCCGTGTGGTTGTGGTGGCCATGGCTACTTGAGTGGTTTTGTGACTCTTGTGTGTAGAGCCATTACCGCTAGAGTGGTTCGAGTCCGAGTGCGAATCTGAACTCGAACCAGAAGAACGGCCTCCAGAGTTGACGGAAGCCCAACTCCATGCTTCCGCAGTCCCGGAGAAGACGTAAGCAGTAACCACGAGGGCTAAGAGTAGCTTGCATGCACAAGAGAGACCCATCGTTTTTTTTCTTCTTTTTTGATTACTTAACTACGTTCTTGTTCCTTTTTCTCTCTTATTTGTTTGCTTTTGTGAGCTCTTTAGAGTTTAGAGGCTGCCTATTTAAACAAAATTAGGATGGCCCTATTCGGTTCCCAAATTGGATATATAGGAAATATGAATATTGATCATAAAAAGGAATCTTCTGTCCATGCTATATCGTTCAAAAAAGGTTTCTTGGTTTTGAGCTGATTTCATTATTTCACATCAACATCTTTTTGAACAAAAGCAACACAGTGGGTTTGTATCTGCATCTTTTTGAAGCGCGGATCAATAGCAGCCATAACACTAAGCTTGATAGATAGGTACAGAGCCAGAGATCAGAACAGAGGCACTGGTTTTCTTATCCTCTGCGTTGCCTCTGCAACAAGTCACTCCGCAAGATCTAAACAAATTTATTCCTGTTATAAGTTGTTATTAGTTTTTTCTATCTGTTATACGAACTTTCTACAATGGTGTTAATAGTTTTTTCTATCTGAACTTTTAACAATGGAACCATCATACCGGTAATGCGGATCACCTGGATTATAAGTTACTGGTTCGGTTTTTTTTGTTTTGTTTTAACGTGGCTCATGAGGCTTGGTATGTGTTTCTTGGCAACGAATGTGTGAACCCACCATCAAGAAATTTCCTCTGCTCTTCCTTGTTTTTTCGTTATTAGGATACAATTTTCACAAATATACAGTGATACTTTTTTAGGTGGCAAAATTTCCACAAAGCTTACTCTCTTGCTAGGATCAGTCAATATACAGAGTCAACACGTTTTGTGATACTAAATACTACAATTTATTTACAAACTCTCTTTGTTTCATACTTTCTCAACATATCTGTCTAGAAAACTCCTCAGTCTTCTCTCCACCATACAAATGGATTTTTCTCTTCTCCTTTTTATCATTGCTGTTGCAATAGGCTTCTTCGTGATTTTTCTAAAATTCAGATTCCATCAAGAATACCAAGAAATCGATTCTTCTTCTTCTTTATCTCCTCCATCTCATAACTGGATACACGATGTTTTTCCAAGCTTCCGCGGGGAAGATGTCCGCATAGACTTTCTCAGTCACATTCAAAAGGAGTTTGGAAGAAAGGGAATCACACCGTTCGTCGATAATGAAATCAAGAGAGGAGAATCCATTGGTCCTGAACTCAAACGGGCCATTATGGGATCTAAGATCGCCATCATCTTGCTCTCCAAGAACTATGCTTCTCCAAGAAAAAATCGCCACTGATGTTTCAAGCCAGCTGGTTAATTTCGACGGTTTAGTTGGGATGAGAGCTCATATGGAGAATATGAATTTGCAATTAGAGTCCAATGAAGTGAAGATGATAGGTATTTGGGGTCCTTCCGGAATTGGTAAAAGCACCATCGCCAGAGCTCTACACAGCAAATACTCTCATCAGTTCCAACTCAGTGTCTTCATGGAGAACAGGTTAAAAGACAAGAGAGTGTTTGTTGTCCTCGATGATGTGGATCAGTCGGCGCAACTAGATGCAATGGCGAAAGAAACTCGGTGGTTTGGACCTGGAAGTCGGATTATCATCACAACGCAAGATAAAAAGCTTTTGAATGCACATGGGATTAACCATATATACAAGGTGGACTTTCCAGCTTACAAAGAGGCTCTTGAAATCTTGTGCATGTATGCTTTTGGTCAAAAGTTCCCATATGTTGGTTTTGAGGAGCTTGCTTGGGAAGTTATAAAGCTTGCTAGTAAACTCCCTTTGGGACTAAGGGTTATGGGATCTTATTTGAAAGGAAGGACCAAACAGGAGTGGAAAAGGGAACTACCAAGGTTACGTACTAGCCTTAACGGAGAAATTGAGAGCATTTTAGAGTTCAGTTACAATGCCTGAAGATAAAGAATTATTTCTTTATATAGCCTACTTTTTCAACAATGAACGGATTGAGAAAGTGGAAGAGCATCTTGCAAAGAATTTCTCTGATGTGAGACAAGGTCTTCAGGTCTTAGCTGAGAAATCTCTCATATCTGTCAGCAGCTGGGGACGTATAGAGATGCATGATTTGCTAGAACGTTTGGGTAGAGAAATTGTTCGTAAACAATCCATTCACGACCTCGGACAGCGTCAGATTTTGGTTGATGCTAGAGATATATGTACAGTACTAAATAATAATACACTTGTAAGTAGTCACATTAGTCTTTCACTGCGTTTTTCTTACAAATTTTTGATAATTAATCATTGTTACTTATGTGTCATTGTGTTCTTTTTCAGAGTCGTGGAAGTGTTATAGGCGCAATCATCAACGTCACTGAGATGGAGGATGAGTTAAATATATGTTGTGATAGTGCCTTGGGAAGCATGTCTTCTCTCCAGTTCTTAAGAATCTTTAGAATCAGGGACGATCCTTTTGAAAATTATACCTTACCACAAAGTCTGAACAATCTACCTCGAAAAGTTAGATTACTAGATTGGCAATATTTTCCAAAGATAGGTCTGCCATCTAATTTTAATCCGGAGTTCCTCGTCGAACTTAAGATCCTTGACAGCAATCTTGAAAATTTGTGGAAAGGAAATAAAGTAAGTATTCCCTTCTTTTTATTATTTGTTTCTATAATAACTTTGTATACTTGGGTTTTATTTGAATCTATAACTTTGTATTTTCATACAATATGATTGAAATGGAATTAAATCTTATTGGTATTGAAATGTGTTATATGAGTAGTTTTTCTTTCATGAGTTCACTACTAATTGTAACGTATTTGTTCACTATACAGACGATTAGAAATCTCAAGTGGATGGATTTGAGTTATTCTGAAAAATTGAGGAAGCTTCCTGATCTCTCTACTGCCACTAATCTCTGCGAACTAGATCTTAGTAGTTGCTCAAATCTGGTGAAGCTTCCATCTTCTATTGGGAATGTTACTAAACTCGAGCTATTGATTCTTAGTGGTTGCTCAAGGCTAGTGAAGCTCCCATCTTCTATTGGAAATGTTACTAAACTCGAGTTATTGAATCTTAGTGATTGCTCAAGGCTAGTGATGCTCCCATCTTCTATTGGGAATATTACTAAACTCGAGTTATTGAATCTCAGTGGTTGTTCGAGGCTAGTGGAGCTCCCATCTTCTATTGGTAATATTACAAGTCTTGAAAAATTGGATCTCAATGGTTGTTCGAGGCTAGTGGAGCTCCCACCTTCTATTGGTAATATTACAAGTCTTGAAAAATTGGATCTCAGTGATTGTTCGAGGCTATTGGAGCTTCCATCTTCTATTGGAAATATCACTAGGCTATGGAATTTGTATCTCAGTGGTTGCTCAAGTTTAGTGGAGATTCCATCTTCTATTGGAAATGCAACTAATCTCGAGTTCTTGAATCTTAGTGGTTGCTCAAGTCTAGTGAAGCTTCCATCCTCTATTGGGAATGCAACTAATATCAAGGTATTGTATCTTAGTGGTTGCTCAAGTNTAGTGGAGATTCCATCTTCTATTGGAAATNNNACTANNCTCNNGNNTTTGNATCTCAGTGGTTGCTCAAGTTTAGTGGAGCTTCCATCTTCTATTGGAAACCTTTATAAGTTGTTAGTTTTGCGTTTACAAGGTTGCTCAAAGCTAGAGGCCATTCCGATCAACATCAACATGGAATCTCTAGGTGAACTTGATCTCACTGATTGTTTGTTGTTGAAAAAATTTCCACAAACGTCGAATATCCTCCCGGGCTCACCGAAACTGAAGTAGAAGAAATTCCTCCTCTACGGTCTCGTTTTAAATTGCATATCGCATACTGGGAACACCTTGGAGAATTCTCGCATGCTTTTAACTACATCACAGAGCTGCACTTGAGCGATACAAGAATACAAGAAATTTTCTCCATGGATCAAGGAATTATCTCGTCTACAAACACTCGTAATCAAGGGATGCGCAAAGCTGGTTTCGCTCCCACAGCTTCCAGACTCCTTAGAATTCCTAGATGCAGAAAATTGTGGGTCCGTAGAGAGACTAGACTGCTCTTTACAGAATAATAAGTTTATCGGCCTCAACTTTGGTAACTGTTTCAAACTGAGTGAAGAAGCAAGAGACCTCATCATCAAGACAATTTTCGACAATTTTACTATT